CACCCATGAGACACGCCCCACACCCGTGCACCAGTACAGTAAGTCCATTTAAACCAACCCACTTAGTCAAAAAGGAACAACTCATATGGCTCCTACACAAGCTGATGGTTCATCCAATCGCCTGCCAGGACTTTCTCTAAAGTGCCCGCCCTCACATAAACACTCACATGGTTTCATGCAGCGACTTCAAAGCTACTCGATGAACAGGTATGCTTCCTGCTTTAGATGTTTTTTCCAGTGACTTTGTGGCATCTTCCATTATTATTTGGGGCATGAAGCGCGCAGGCTCCTGATGACGTCATCATTTGTGCTTTTATCTTATTTATCTCCTCTTCATCTGCTGACCTGAGCAGCATCTCTACTCTGGTTAACAGGAAGCAGAACAGGTTACCTTAACTGTGGATCTGGTCATCAGGTTAGTTCCCAAACCATTGGCTGACATCACTGTGGCCACGCCCACCTCTTTATACAGTCTTTGTAAGATACTGTGTAAATGAAAGTTTGTGTTTGCTCCTTTAAAACCTGCCCTGTGTCTCATATAATATCTCCCTGAGTGTGAGTGTGTTTGCAGGAACAGAGTGGATAATTGCCGTGTTTTGACTCTTAAAGTGCTGCACTCACTCTGTTTTGATATATTTGTGACAGCAGCAAAAACAGACCATCCGTCCGCACAGACGCATCAGTTATTAGGCAGCCTGGAAGCTCTCAGCGCTGTCACACCGGCTGGGACTGCAGAGCCGAGTCTAGACTTGTACTTTCCTGCTGTTCTGTCTTCACTGTGTTTGCTTAAATCTTTTACAACCAATTTATCTTCATTTGAGCAGGTCTGCAGCACAGGCCGCCGCCTCGGGCTCCGCGTAATTGGACTGCAGTCTTTATAATGAAGCCTTCCCAACAGGAGAGCAGCACACAGACTCGGCTGGAGCCCGGCTTCACTCACTGATGTAAGCGTCTGCCATCACGGCGCTGAACCGAGGCTGCATCATGACTGGTGTGAGCTGAGGTCAGTGAGTTTGTGTTTAATAGCAGGTAAACCTGATGATCAAACGGATTCATTATGGTTTCTCTCATCAATCAGCAGATCTGGATCAAGCTGCAGCCCTCTGCAGGTGAAAACTGACAAACACTGAGCAGCAGGAGCTTCAGCAGCTACGTGCACATCCAACCAGAACTAACAGCACAGCTCCAACGTGCCCTGTGAAAGGTTGGTGATAGTCTTTGCTCCTGTGTCCATCCAAGCGTTTCCAAGGTTTGAAAGTGTTTCTCCTCCTGAATGTGCGCTGAGCTCAGGTTATCATCATTTACCTAACAGATGTTTATTGAAAAATAGAGAAAATATCAGATTTCCAAACTGAGAAATTTGTTTGTTTTTTAACTGAAGGATAAATGATCAGTGTGAATTTAATGTTTCCAAAACGTTGTTACAGGGAAAAATAATCAGGAAGAAAAGGAACCTTCACATCGACTTCCTCCACTTCTGCACAGCACGTGTACACAAACCCCACCGGAAAGAAAAAGTATGTATAAAGACAGAAATTGTGTTTTCCACTAGAAATTTTATACGGAAGACGTAACTTTAACATTTTAACTCCAGCAACTTTTCTACATTTCACTGATACAGAAGTTTTTGTATGAAGTTTGTTTTTTTACTTTTCCTAGGTTTCTGTGACATTAGCCAACTGATTTAATTTTTTTTTTTTTTTTTTTTTAAAAACTACCCTGGTGTCAATTTCTCTTATTTTGAAATGCTCCATACTTGACCACACGGGGGCGCCAAATACTCAAATTCTAGTTGGGTGTTTGCGCTGTTCAGATTTGTTATTTACACTAGAAATGAGGCCGAGGCCTTTGCAGGAGCCTTCACGAGCAGTTTCAACACCTGCATCACTGCAGGACATTTTCTTCCCAACCTCATAGAGGTATTTACTCATCATTAAAGCTTAAAGACACAAGTACTTCCACTCTGATCACAGATACTCACGCGGTGGTATCCTGACACCTGTGGAGGTCAGCGGCTCACCTGCCCACAGCAGCTCAGCATGTTTGATTTGGTACATTTACACCAGTTTAAAGCTGATGTTCATGTGGAGTCACCACATCTGATACTGGACTCCGAAGCACCACATGACAGTCAGCTGATCCAATAATTTGCATTTTAATCTGATGTGCACAAGGAGGCGGAGTCTGCTGAGCTGCTGTAACATGCAGGTTTTTATTTTTCTATTAAAAGTACGTCGATGTTCAAACTGAGCCACAGACGCTGAGCGGACAGCCTCACTTATCCAGACAGACATTG